CTCATACTCAGCAATACGTCTATGTAATTGAAGAGCTTTCCGGAAAAAGGACACATAGCAAAAAATGGCCTTTGAGAAAAATACATTTGAAGTTTCCATCATTAAATTATGGCTACTGATTGTTACTTACGTTCGAAATCGGGAGTTCAAGCTGCGATGTAAGTTATCATCAGTGACCGGAAAGTAATGATGGAAACTTACGATGCATTTTTCTCATACGCAATTTTTTGCGATGTGCCCTTTTTCCGGAAAGCTTCTCACTTGTTAAGTTAACGTTCCTGCTGTTAAGTAGGATGAGGCGTGCGAAAACCGAACACTATCTGCATACGAAATTGCTACAAATCGTATACTAGAATTAATTTTCATTGTGTTCAGTAATTTGTTCGTGTTTGACACTGAGACTGAAATTAATTTATTCATCCTCACAAAATAATTGTAATAAATTTCAGTCATGTAGATTTAACAGTACCATGAATGCGTAAAGTGTTTTTCAAGGACAGTTTCGAATTAAATTTCATGGTAGACTCAGTGAGATATTCTAATCAATCAAACCTGCACACGATTTGTCCTACCGGATATATACAAAATATTCACCCTATTTTCCAGACGGAAAACGAACGAATAAGATTTGTATTCAGAATAGTGTATTTTGTCCTTCCATCGAGAAAAGCATCTTCTTGGGAAAAATCAGGAAATACGTTCTTAAGCATGTCTTAGATGGACTACAGACCGCTACCGCTAACACTCCCTTGTACTAGAGGACTACATCCTGAATCAACGGAGTACAACACATACATGAAAATTCATCATTGCATGAAAGGTAACTTCTTTAACGTTCTCACTATCTGAGCGGCAGCCATGTTGGTCACCATTTTGGTTCTTAGAGAACTTTTATGGGTCTGTTTGGGTATTTGGACCTCATTTGTGGAATTTACGACCCAAAAAACCCATGCAGGGACACCTCACTCGACGATACGAGCCTCAACAAAATATTTCACCCCGCAACGGCAGTCATTTGGCCGCCATATTGAAATTTTGGGGCTTCAATAAACCTGTAGCAAAATTCTGACCTCATCGGCGAAATCTACGACCCAAAAAACCCTACGAAAGATATCCTACTCGGCCTTCTACGCAACTCTCGGAGATTTGACCCTATCGTGGAAATTTTGGCGGCCATATTGGATTTTGGGCATCCCTTTGAGCCGGAGACAATTTTGGACCTCAAATTCGGATTCTACGACCAAAATTACATAGTGATAAACCCCATGCACGACATCAAAAACAAATTCCAACATCTTCAACCCCCGAGCTCCCATTTTGGCGGCCATCTTGAATTGGAGGGGTTGGACGCAAAATTGAGCTTGACAGCATCAAAATTATTTTTCTACGCATCGAATAGAAGAGATTAGGCCATTTTCCACACTTACCCCATTTACTATTCCACGGGAGGTTTCTTTTCAACATATGCCCGTGGACTAATTTATGCAGGCTCGCGCTGTGCCGCCGCCGCGCGGATCGCAATGGGGCGGGATGCTTAAATTATAGACCCATCATGTAGTATATCGTTGGAAAGCTTAAAAGACGCTCTTTTACATGGTGAGTATTTAAAGTGACCTTAATAATGCGATTTTGAAAGTTATGCGAATTACAAGCTTTTTTTCCACACGCGAAACCCAGTTTTTGTGAAAAAAACACCCTGTATATTGTCAAAATCAAAAATTTTGTAATTTTTTTATATTTACCTTTAAATTATCTTTAAAACAAAAAAAAGAAAAATTAAATCGGTTCAGCGGATCTCGATCTATAGCGGCGCAAAGTACGCGCCCGGCCGCCATTTTGAATGGCCGCCATCTTGGATCTGCCACCATTTTGGAAATGCCTCTTCGACTCAAAACTCTTAAAATGTCATCTAGTTTGACCTCCCAAAGTGGCAAAACTGAATCACGATTTGCAGCGTACTTGCCATAAGCCACCGTACTATTAGAATACTCAGGGCATGGAATAGTAGAGCTTAAAAAGCCCATGATGTGTTTCGACGCCGTACGAGCATTCGAACTTAATTCTATCCCTTCATTTATCATCAGAGGGTATAACATCAATGACTTGTCAACAAACTAACCTAAACTAGCGTTAACATAAAAATGCGTTTATGTTCCACCTGTTTCCTGCTTTGCCATAAACTTCTACCTTAAATTAATTTCATTTTAAATTCGCGCATCCCTGTAGCAGATGATAAGGTTTCTATATGCGCGCAATCCTTGTGCCTTTTTCGGGCAATCTTTGTATATTTTCTTAGACTCTTCGCGCGATCCTAGATTACCGATAATTAATCCTCCATGTAAATGGCATATTAATCGATTCATCGCAAGCACGTCAAGGACCTATTCTGAAATCGTCATCCACCGGCTTCACTGTCAAGTTCTGTATTCCATATTATTGCTGTTTATCTTTAAATAAGTATCGCTGAGGAGTTAAGATGATGAAAAAGATCGACTGTCAAAAATTTGCCGATGTGCTTTTTCGAAAGCTATGCAGTGTTTGAAAATATTCTAGGCATATTCTCATTCTTCATAGGCTATTTTGGGACATATTGTGTGAAATATAACATCAATATCTGATGGAAACGTTGAAGATGAGCGAACATTAACTCCAGCCCTCTTGGAAAGGGAGGGGTATGAATATGAATTATAAATTTTTAAGAATGCACCATATGATTAATTTTCACCATATTTGATGCAATAGATGAACGAATGAATTCATAATATGCAATGCGATTGGCCCTACGAATACAATAAGATTAATTTATCCTGTCCAATGTATGGCAAGTGTAAAGTAAACTATTTCACCTTAGCAATCAAACTCCACATTATAATGGGACTGATCTCTCGACTAATTTTGAACTGTTACCTCTCGATCAAAATCAAAAGGTCATATAAGGAATTTCAGAAACTGCTTCTGTCGGATCTCGAATCACAGCAAGAAGCGGCCCTAATTTCTCATGATTACTTCGAATAGAGGAAGTGAACGGTGAGTTCAAGATAATTTCGGATTATGCGCTCCTTTTTTTTAAATCTGATGATATGTTTTGCCACTCAAGAAAGAGATCGACTTGTTGCGATCTATTAGAATTTTTCAAACTTCCAGAGTTTCAATTTGCGACATTTTACTGTAATAACTCTTTTGATTCTCCGTAATTCACACGTCTGCTCGAATCTTGGTGTCTACATCTCAACATCGCATTTCGGGGCAATGAAACCACAGTTTTGAGTTCGCCGTTGCTCTTCAAGCCTCCACTCACAATCAGCAACTTTCGTTCATGATTTTGCAAAGCATGATGGACCTTCGTCACTCAGCCGTAATTTTTGCAGTTGAAAATTGCAGTTGAAATTTGCGGATGGGCAAGTTATCGCTGCAATTATTCCGCGGACTTTTTCACAAATTCTGAAGTTTTTACACAACCTGCCCGAACAATTATCGGAGTTACTCTTGAGTAGGTCAGACAAGGCCTCAAAATTGGACAGCAGATAAATTCTTATCGCCACTCATTCATCTGAATTCACTTGAAGGATCTATCGAGACCGAAAATTTACAGCGAGCAGATTCTGCTGTTCTTTTATTTAAGTTGCACGACTTCAAATACTCTCTAAATGTTGTCCACTTTCGATCAAAATCGGCTGAGCAAACAAGCCGTCATTCTGGAATGTTATTAAGCCATAAAATTGACATTAAAGGAGAGAGACATAATTGTCCGACCGAGGTTTTTGTAAGCGGGCCTGCTATGAAGAATTATTACCGGCGTCCTAGTTATTATGAGCGCTTGAGAAGCTTGCGATTAGAATTTTGCTTCAACATCAAAATTAAATAAGTGCACAATTTATGTGATTTCAACCATATTTTCTTTGGAAAAAACTGACTCTATTAATTTATCTTGTGAAATGTGGGTACTCTTTGTAGGCAAAAGAGGTACAATCGAACGCATTAAATCAGAACCCTCCATGTTGATGGACTTCGCTCAAGTTTCATTTTTATTAGAGAACCAGACAATACCTACAATGCCTTGAAACCTACCTCTGTGAAATTCTCTTGGATTAGAATACTTTAACATAGGAAATTACAAAATTTTAAATCAGAAAATTGATTACTTTCCTCTGAAAAAGTAAAAAAGTAAAAAATAAATAACTAGATGAGTTAGGCAAAGTCTCATCTAGTTAGGCTGATTGTGATCGGATTCGTTTAATTTTAAAACGTACCTTGACAATACTGCCGTGCTAAGGAAGAACGCCGTATGAACATTCGAGAGCTGCTAAATTTAAATTAAAATAAAAACTCTGTGTCGCTGATGATGGACTCGCGATGAGACTGAAACGCGTCCGACCGGTATAGAGAACGTGCAAGTGAGTTTTTCTTTTAATTTAAATTACAAGTTCTTGTGCGACCCGAACATTAACGTTATATCTGCTAAATTTCCTCCGATAAAATGTCTATTTTTGAGGAACGTTATGAATATTATTCCTTGACATGTTTTAGACTTTTTAAACATCTAACTACGAACGATAAAATGTCTATTTTTGAGGAACGTTATGAATATTATTCCTTGACATGTTTTAGACTTTTTAAACATCTAACTACGAACGAAATCCCATGCAAAATTGGAGGGAAAATATCCATAGATTTTCCTGAAAATTCTTGATTTGTAGAATAAGGAAATGTGGCAACGTCTAGTGGCTTACGGCGTTCTTCCTGCTTAGCGCGGCAGAATAGCTTAACATTTAAACCTCATTGAAAATTGCTCTTGCGCCTTGAAATCTCCTCACTGGAGGCCGGAACTTTCAAGGAGATGTCAAAATTGCCTGTAGTATCTTGGCGTCCGAATTTCGGCCCCACTAAGGGCCAGGATATATTCGTAAATAACGTTTCATTTTATATTTCTTTCATTCATTATCGTTTCTTTATTTTTTTGTACATCTCATTGTATCATCTTTTTTATCCTTGTTTCACAGGAAGTATGCGGCTGTGTGAAATCTCAGCAGTTTTGTTGCTATTGTTAAGTTCAAGAGCAATCCATGTAACTGCCCAAAGTCAGCGTCGCGGTGCCCGCCGCTTCCAGACACCTAACGCTGTAAGTGACCTCCGTGTATCTTTAATATTTTTATCATAAAATTCAACCTAAATAGGCTACAAAAATAGGGTCCAAAGAGAGGGGTTAAAAGGTTTATATTAGTTAAAATCTTAAAAAATGCGACTATGTCTTCTGAAAGAGTTCAAAAATCTATCATATTGACGGCGTAAGTCCGCGATCACATCATAACTCGTTTGGTGTGTCTGAAAATCTCCGCCTCTATGTTATTTTTTTTAAAGGAGAACAAATTGACATCATTCCTGGAAGTATTTGCAGAATTTTCTCCGCAAAGAGAAGAAAAATCACGGCAGTTTTAAAGAATTTCCGTTGAGTAGTTTTCCGTTTAAAAAATAAAGTTTGACAGGAAGTCTGTGACGTCGCAAACCGAGTTATGTGATTGCCGACTTACACCGTCGATATTCTGTCGCAAAAATGGGTCAATTGCGCTAGTCACAGAATCGTGTTTTGATTCTTGATTCTTGTAATGCAGGTTACTTAAGAATAATAATAATATAGTCCAAACAGCAACTTTCTGCGTTCAATATTGACTCCAAGATATCGCGCTTTGAAAATTTCGGTTTACGTCGTCATTCACCGCGGTAGAGACACCCTTGGTTTCTTCCACCCCGCTTTCATCAGTAAGTGATTTACTGATTACACAACGTGAAATTTGGATGAAAGCAAGGAGCGAGAAACCAACACTACCGCGGTGGGTGACGTCATGGATCAAATCTTTGAAAGCTGGATATCTCGCTTTAATATTGAACGTAGAGAGTTGCTGTTCAGACAGATCTTATTATTTTTAGCTGTTCTTCAAGAATCTAGCATCAAAATACGATTCTGTTACCAGCGTAACTGACCCGTTCGCCTTGACTGGATAAAAAAAGTACTTATTAAGACGTCTATTTTTCCAGGAGTTGGTAAGCGATGAAGAGAGAACGTTTGAAAGTCGTCAATCTCGCGACTCAGCGAGTTTGAATTGGTCGCCGAGACGGGGTGACAGCCAAGAATCAGCGGAGCCGTTGGACTCGTCTAGGGGATTCAATCAGCTGGACAGGAGAAAAGGGAGCTCCCATTTCGACCTCGAGTCGAACCTCAGCTATGATGCTTTAAAAACTAGTCAACAAAAATCAACTTTAACAACAAATTCAGATAGGTATAAAAATGAGCGCCCACCGGCGCTCCCTAGAAAGAGGGTCGAAACGACTGATAGTCTGCCATCACCGACGCCACGCCAGGAGTCCAAGTATCCCCGCCGAGGGAAGCTTTTCAGCCCGGAAACCTTTTCGACGAGACAGCCAGAGACAAGTCCCACTTCCGAGAGCAGCTTCCAGTCCCGGCAAAGATCTCCAGCGTCTAATTCTGAGCAAACGGTAAGGTGATTTTCCACGAAGATTAAAATGAGAAAAGTTCGAAGTTATCCCTGCTACAAATGAGGGGTAGAAAAAGGTAAAGAATGATACGGCTATTCTGCTGGATCTATACTGGTATCAGTTGAATCTTTACTGATATCATGATGTAAGTAAAAAACCTATAGTGATATCAATCGAGTCTCTCTACTTGCTTTTGGCCAATTATTTATTTCAGTAAAAATCCAACTAATCCGACTAAAGATCCAGCGGATATCGGGACATAGAAGTTGAATTTGCGATGTCTGATATCTTAGAAACTAATCACCGCATCAAAAAATGTAAGATGCGTATGGTTATTATTTTCAAATTTTTAAATTTCTCTCAAATGCAATTTAAACGGAAGTTTCGAGACCCGCATCGCGTATGAAGATTATTTAATAGAGACTAAATGCTCTTACATGTTGGTGGTTATGCATTATAGAGCTATGCAGAGGTCTAAATAAATGCATGACCAGATCAGCAGCTCTTAAACAGGCTTTCTATGTTTTAAAAAACAATTATATTCAGACGTTCACCGCTCTCAAGAAACACACGCGTATTTCAATCCATGTTCATAAACGAACATTTATGATACGCATTAAAAAAACGCGAATCATTCAATGATAATTTCCAGATTATATCTATTTTGAAAACCTCACAAATATTCTCGTCGCTCCCCCTAATTCTTTTTTTCAAAGACATCATACGTAATGAAATTATCAAAAAGGGCCCATAAGATAAAAACAAGAGGGGAAAAAATGAGGGGTCAACAATTAATCTTTTAAGAGTAAATCTTGCATATATGACCTTTCAGGGCGCTCAAAAATGTCAAAAATTGATCATTTTTATAAGATCTCAAATTTAAAGAACGACAAATCGCGAATTTAGGAAACACGCATACGGCTAAAAATGTCCGCAATTTGAGAGAAAACCGCACAATTCACGGAAAAATTTTTTTGAGAAAGAAAACTTAATTCAGACGTGAAGACATAAGAGTATAAATGGAGACGGTAAATATTTTTTCACGAATGATTAAATTTTTGAATTTTAATAGGATGGATCTAGCTCTCGAAGAGGAAGGCAACGTTCACGTGGAGAATCAGCAAAATCTCTCTTCAAGGATTTAAACGCCAATGTTGAAGAAGATAAAGATACATCCATTCAAGAGTCTGACAACTACCCAGGCGTATACAAACAACTTAAAAACCAAGGAATTTCTACCTTTGAAATACAAGTTAGTAAATTTTGAATACTTTTCAAAAGCTCTATTCACAGTCATTTATTCCTTTAACTTTAAGGCTCTCTTGAGTCATACACAGGTCTGACCATGATTTTCCGGCCCAACTCTCTCAATTGATTGATTACGTGGTCTGGTACTATAAATATTGATATTCTATTATTTGGCCGATTTGTCAGTTTACGATGCAATTTTCAAAAAATCCCTTCATTTATACATTGATCACTCACTGGCAGTTTGTAGTAAACCCTACTGCTTCCTTGCTTATTTCCAAATATTATTCTTTTTCAGTGGTAATTTCAATCTAATCATGCAGACATACGACCATTTACCGAGTTTTTCATTTCTTTTTGTCTGAAGGAAAAGTTGAAACTGGAAGCAGCCAAAAAATCCAAAAATGATGGCAGGCAATTCAATTCAGTTATAACGAGTAATCTACCATCAAGGAATCGAGAGACGGAGGTAAGTTCCTCTTTTTCTAAGTAAACTCTTTTGAATTTAATTGCTTGTCTACCAGTGGTGAGGCTTGAATGATCGATTATCGATGTGTCCCCATTGGAGGCTATGGTAAAGAATCGATTATTAAGGTTTTGTTGCAAACACCCTGTTTATCGACCCTTTTAAGTAGGTTTAAATGGCAGCTCAATCGATACATCGCAAAGCACACCACGCCACTGTTGTCTACTTGTTCCAGCCATCTCCCTCCGTTTAAAGTGGGATTTACACATGATTTGAAAAATAAAGGAGCAGAGAAAGGGTAGTGAAAAACAAGCTTGATGGGAGCTAATTGTTCTGAAAATCACTAGATTATTTCGTCAAAGAATTCAAATGCCCTTATTCCATTGAGAACTAAATATGTGCGCAGCTTTTCTCACAGAATTTAGGATATTATGAAGAGAACCGTTTTCAAAAAGTAGTGGTTTAAAAGACTTAAGCGCTGAAAAAAAAGGAAAAGCGTGTGTGTATTCATAACTGGAATTTTGTTCCTTTTTGCATTAATACACTTCTTTTCTACTCGTAGTTACTTTTATCCTGGCGTTCAAGTCTCTGGCGTATTAGAAATAGGTATCTTTATTTTATTGTAATCTTTCCCCGAAACATTACGATTGTTTTAGTCCTTGAAATCTAGAGACCATCAAGGAGGAAACGTCACTTTTTTATCGGTAAATATGAGGAACCTTATTGAATTGTATTCCGAATGTAAGAGTCGAAGCTATTTAATTGTTGCTAATTTATTTGTAATTTTCTTATTCTGATACCAAAAATAAGCCCAAAAATGGATTCATATTTTAATTTTCTGACACATTTTGAATTTTTTTTGGATGATCAGACCATGTTTAATGCACCAAATTCCCAACTGCACTCCCAAATTGAACAATTAGCTGTTTAAATGTTTAGATTTCCTCGCCAATCAAAACAAATTGCCACATCTGAGCAGTATTGCAGGGTTCCTGGTTCCTTTCCACCAAAATACAGTCCAACCAATTACTCTGCCGTGGTAACGAAGAACGTCGTATGGACATTTGAGAGTTGCCAAATTTCCTATGATGAAATGTTTATTTTTGAGGGAAAATGCGAATATTTTTCCTTAAAATTTTCAGGAACCTTAGATCAAAATACAAACAAAATTTTGTGAAAAATTTGAAGAAAATTATTCATAAGTTCACCAGGGAATTCGTGTTTTATCAAAGACAATTTGGCAACTCCTGAAGGTTCATACGGCGTTCTTCCTTAGCACGGCAGCACTGATAACTGTTTAATCAGCGGCGCCTATTAACGAACGAATAATCGCTCTAGATAATGATCTGTAAAGAGTCCTCCCAGACAAGATACGCGGAGAAAATGTGCAGAAGCATTTTATATGTCACCGTTTGAATATTATTCAAGCTGGGAGCCCGCAATGCATGATTGCGGCTTTTAAATTATCTGATCCGAGTGCCACGTAATGCTGATGGTAGCAGATTGCCAGTGCGGGCACAACTACGTCCATTTGCATTCGACATCGGGGTTGTCACATAATGGACCGAGAGCGAATGAAAGTTGGCGGAAATGTTCGCGCGAGTGAATCACCGGTCCAATTTTTTAACATGACCACCATTAGCGTCTTTTCCTTAAACAGTTCCTACTCTTCCTATCACTCGACTATGGACAATCTCTAAACAGAGAATACTTAGATTTATCACCATGCAGTCACCTTTCATGGTTAAGGTGATTCGATGGACGCCATATTTTGTGTCAGAACGGAATGCGATATATCGCATCAATTTGTTCCATTTTTTCAGCTACTCGTCACTTTTCTCCAATTTTGAGATCGCAACTCTGTTGTCAGGAGACTGAAGCACTCACTTACCAATTTTGACAAAGAAATTCAACGTAATAAAGGCGTGGTTTTCTTAGAGAAAAAACATCGCATTCGATATACTGATGACGATACTGCACTCCGATAGCGATACTTTCTCTCTAAAAAAACCACGCCTTTATTACGTTGAATTTCTTTGTTAAAATTGGTAAGTGAGTGCTTTAGTCTCCTGACAACAAAATTGCGATCTCAAAATTGGAGAAAAATGACGAGAAGCTGAAAAAATGGAACCAATTGATGCGATATATCGCATGCCGTTCTGACACAAAATATGGCATCCATCGAATCACCTTAAATTTTGGGTTTTTCTTCTTGTAATCCTGATAAACTAAACAACTTCGGAAACTTGCAAGTTTGAGGTGGTCCTTAGCATCAAACTCTGATATAAAACATGGCAGAAATTACTTTGATGCACCACAATATGGCCGTGCTTAGGAAGAACGCAGTATGAACATTCGAGAGTTGCCAAATTTCCTTCGATAAAATGTTTATTTTCGAGGAAAATTATGAATATTTCCCCTTGAAACTCTTAGGAGATTTCGGTGGAATTACGAGCAAAATTATCTGAAAAAATTGGAAGAAAGATATTTATATGTTTACTAGAAAATTTGTGTTTTATAAACCGAAATTTGGCAACGCCTGAAGGTTCATACGGCGTTTTTTCTTAGCACGGTAGAATAGCGGCGGTGTCTTTTGAGTGTTTTTCGTATCTGTTAATGATGATGGACGAAGAAGGAAGCGGTGATCTTTTTCATTATTTATTCCTCGCTAATCAATAGGATTCACTGGATTCAAACATAAAATATGATCCTCAAACGCAACTTCCGAATGAATGCGGTTAGAAATAGTGGAATACTAATTCAATAAGTCGCGCATTACAAAAGAGACAAATAGGAATGAAGTAAAGCTCTGCTTTCGATACCGTCAAGTTATATTCGATTTATGACATTTTCCCGCAAGCATAAAAAATTAAGTCAACGTTAATTCATCGTGGAGGAAGAAAGGGAAAGTGATCGTGAATAATTGAGTCCGGATAGACTTATCGGGTTGATAATGAATCGTGGGAAGATCTGAAAAGGTTACTCCAGTTTTTGGCTCAAAAACAATAAATTGCGCAAACCACTAAGTCACTAAAGGTTTTATGACTGTCAGCAGCCTTCAATATTAATGGAAAGTACGTAATTTTGCATTTATTACCTCTTATCGATACAAATAAATAATATGAAACCTTGGAGCGAAGAAATGTGTTTTATCGTTTGGAAATAAAATTCAAATCCTACTTAATTTACATCGTTAATTGCTAAATCCCATGCAAACCAATAAGCGAGTTGTTAATCGAGGAAAACTTCGAGGAGTATTCCTTTTTTTTTTCTTCGTTCACTGATCAGTTATATTTCGGAAATGCAGCTCACGAGTTAATTATTATGCAAACTATTTGTTGTATGAAATTTTGTTCATCTGAAGTTTTTTTGAGAGATCGATGTGTTGATCATTATTCGACGAAAAACGACAGTTATAATTCATTAAATCCATGTGAAGGTGAAACAGACATTCTAATATTTTCATAGGAGGAGATGAGGTAAAGATTAATGCTGCGAAGCAAGCGCACATCGTAATTGAGTTTTCCTCTCACTAATGAAGTAAGTGGTGAAACCAACTAGGATTGCGGTTGAAGCAGTCTGAACCGTCGATATCATTCCTCTCGTGGCTTTTTAGTCACTTTCAACAAAAATCGTGAGCTACTGAGACAATAGTGAAAATAGAGAAAAGTATGTAGCCCAATTGCTGCGTTTTGATATTTCCATTTAACTTTAAAAAAGAAGGAGAAAGTCTGCAATTTATGGAAATTAAAATATTTTTAAAGTGGCTTGTGAATAGGGTATAAATACCTTGCTCGGACTGCTATGTGTACTGATAATAATAATAAATGTGGGGAGAAGGCGCCTCGGTGCGGGTTGGCAAGCTTCTCAGAATTGTTATAAATTGTGTAGAGAAATTTGAATTTGAATTTTCAACTGGAACCAGCCACTCCCGAAAATTCGCAATATGGTGCGAGTGGTTGCCAGGAGTGAGGAGCTTTACTCCAGTGGCGAGGTGTGAATAATCGATTATCGATATCCCCCCATTTGAAGCTGTGGTAAAGAATCGATTGTTAAGGTGTTCGTTGCGAACACACTGTTTATCGATCCTTTCCGATGGGTTAAATGACGGATCAACCTATATTGTAAATTACGCCATACCACTGATTTACCCCTCGTCTGATAGTTTCGAAATCGAAAAGCGAAAATGAAGAAGAAGCGAAAGAGGAGGAGCATCTGGAAAAAAATAGAAAATAATAGGAGGGTGAGAGGGAAAGGAAGAGGAACGAAATTAAATTCTTCTTTATCTGTTTCTTTATCATTCTTCCACCTATTTTTCTCTGTTTTTTACTTTTTTCATATTTTATTACCATTTTTTCGTCCGTTTTTTTCCTTTTCCTTTTCTTCTCCTTCCCTTCTTTTCCTTATTTCCCTTCTCTTTTATTCTTTATCCTGCTTCTAATTCTCACCTTTCTACTGTTATAAATGTATTTCTCTCATTCTGCTTCTTATTCTTCAACCTCTCTTTCCTCCTCTCACTGCTTCTCCATCTTGCGAACCTTACCTAATGCGTCCTTTTCTGACATAAGTTATAAGTTAGGAGTTATGAGACCCGAGTCTGTCAGAGAAAGGTTAAGACAATGCAAATCCTAAAATTTCTCATCGTTTTATCACGCGATACCGAACAATGAACGCGGCATCCGAGCATTTCACTCGGATAATCCGCGGCGAGAGACGACACCTCGAATTCCCATTTTGAGTCGAAATCGCCGAAGAATCATTAGTTGAAGCCGGCCTAAAAAGCCATAAAAGGACGCAACTCAATTTTGACTCGGGCAAAAATAAGCGCGGATCGTGCAGTCGGAGGGGCTCATCTTCGAGCGTAGTTACGCCCTTATGACACGACACGAGTCGTTCCCGAAAAAGGAGGCTTGGATGCACGACGAATCGGGAGGCGGCGGCACGCTACCGATTCGTGTCTGGGGTCCTCTCGAAAATGCCCTTCCTCAATTAGCAGCGACGCGGCCTGAGTCCATGTTTCCATTTCAGCGATGCTAAGTTCATTCCGTCATCCGTCGGGCTTGCATCGATGAAATAAATCATCCTACGACTCGTCGAGTGACAGGCGACAAGGAGTTGCAATGTTGCCGGATTTCATTCCGCTCGCAAAAGATCCACAAAATCAATCAAAGAAGTGATGTAATAACATAGGCGGATCCAGGGTGGGCGCAGAGGGCGTGGTCCCCAGCCCGTTTGTCCGATAAAGAAAAAGGACAGAAATAAAAAAAAAAAAAAAAAAAAAAAAAAAAAAAAAACAGAAACTGAGAAGAGGAGAGGTAAGGATGATGCTTTCATCTGGTAATTATTTTGACGAAATTGACTCAAACTGCAGACAAGATGTCATGAAATTTCGAAAATCTTTTCGAAATCTTTCGAACCCCCGGCGACCTCCCTCCACCCCCGGTCGGCATGAAACGTAAAAAAGAAATGAAAGATTGGAAATTTTAGTGAAATATTTCATGAAATTTGAAGAGGCTGTGAAATATTTCATATTTTTCATGGGCTAGAGTATGCAACCTTCACTCATGAATACACCAAAATAAAAGAAAGTCACAAATTTTACGTTTTGCGAAACATGAAAAGGAACCGGTATTTTTCAATATCTCTCAACAATTTCTGAAATTTCATGAAATATTTCACGTGAAATTTCAAGAATTCATTTTCCATTAAATTTAGCCACCCTGCTCCGTTTGAAGTATCTGGATCCGCATATGCGTAATAAACTTAAGGAACTTGCAAGGATGGTCGGGTTGGTGGGAAGCGTGCTAGAAGACAATCGCTCCTTGAACTTTCAGAGCTCTGTTGATTCTACGTATATTCCCCACAAATGATAATATCGCACATTTGTTTTAACCATAAAATTATATTTATGAAAAAATTTGACAACAATCTGACACCGTTTCAGAGCAGTGTCGGGTAGTGCAAATGGCAGCGTCATTCTTTCACTTCTACTTGATTTCTGTTAGCTCCTCTTAAATGTCAGCACTGTTTACATCAATGATCATTATTTGATGATCACCAAAGTTTTGGGAGTCACGTAGCATCAGGGCATTTTCGGCAGATTTAAAATTAAAGTTATATGTAGTTATTTCACGGTTCGAAATTTTAACCCTAAAGTATGTACCAACTGCGGCGTGAATCCTATACCAACCCGTAAAGTGGATTATAAAAACGTACTTCGATATATCGCTGAGAGACTTTAACGCAGAGAGAGAAAAGTAGGTGTCTAGTATACTTACTGACCACACACGATATTACCATGATAAACTCTGTATCAACTACAAAGTAGGTCGTATAAGCGCGCATTCATATGGTTTTGAGGGGCTTTAACGCCGAGTAATAAAGTAGGAGTGTTTAATACTTACTGATCAGACAGAATCAGACACGGTATCGTATTATTTTAGATTTAAACGTGGATTTTTAAAATTAACACGTTTTTAAGTCATATGTCGATGGTGAAACTGCAAAAATGCGTACCCATTTCGGTTGTGGTGTTTCGAAATCTCCGCTCTTACTTTATTTTTTAAAAAGAGACTGGACCAACATCATGGCTTGAAGTTTTCACAGAATATTCTTTTGAAAAAGGAACAAAAATGAATGAAATTTTAATTAAAAATTACGTTCAGTAGTTTTCCACGTAGAAAATAAACTATGACAGAAAGTTCGCAACGCCGCAAACTGAGATACACGTATCTGCAGTTTCACCATCAATATATATACCGAGCTTATCAGAAAGGAACCAACTTACGTTTTCGAAAAAAATGAGTTTAGAATGTTTTTGAGTTCCGTTCGTCGTGTGTATTCCCCTGCCAAAAACTCAAAGTCGAAAGAAAAAAAATAGTCTGCGTTAAGAGAGGTTAAAGTTTATTTTCTACATTGAACCTTATGGAAAAATCAAACTTCAAACCTCCTTTTCTAGGTTTCAACTTTATGTGGGTTGATTCCTTTCTGTAAACTCGGTCCCTAAATCTTACTCTCTCAATCATTTTATCATATTTGCCCATGTCTAATCATAATCTCAGGCAATGTTACACCCTATTCTTTCAGATAAATCGAAACATACTGCCAGACCCAAAAGCTATCCAGAGACCGTCACAACTGGACTTCGGAAAAACCCGAGCGGGACAAACATCAACGCAATCCGCAGAGGCTGATCACGTGACGCAGAAAGTCTCCACTTTCAGGGGATCCGTTTACGGTCGGTTCCGTCCTGAGGGCTCCTTCAAATCCACGACACCAAGCCCCGAGATCCCCAGGGATTTCGCAACAGAAGAGCCGATCGATGCGAGAAACAACCTCCAACGCTCGAAACAAGCGTTTCAGCCGCGACGACCTATCACCACGCGACCTCGGGAACAGTTCAGTCCAAGACCCAGACAATCAAGCGGGCTAGACGCTACTCATCAAAGCACGACGGAGAGAACCACGGTGAACGCTGTTGAGAGTTACAGGATCTCCGCCCGACAGAAAGCGCAGAGGACGGAGGATTCCACCGCTGAGACTAATCAAAAAACAACCGGAGGCGATACTCGCAGCACTTTCAAGAGCCATAGAGTGCCGCTGGTCGACGTGCAGAAGGAGATTCCCGGGGCAAGGATTGACAGGGAGAAGTACTTTCGAAAGCCGACTCGGAACTTTAGCAGGCTAGGCGGTGACAAGGAAAACGTCTCTCCAACCAAAGATGAGTCAGAGGTAAGGTATATTAGTAAATACTAACTAGGGGGTACTTCCGTGGCTTCTATGGGGCTCAATACTAGAAGACGCTTCGTTTCCTTAAAGAAACGTTTCCTGGATTATATTTGTTTAAAAAAAGGTCAGAAAAAGCGGGCTCATCTACCTGCTGATGGCCGCAAACATTTTTGGAACAGGCCCAGTATACTGCCCTGCTAAGGAAGAACGCCGTATGAGCCTTTAATCATCTGAAAATTTCAAGAGAAAATATTCACAATTCTGCTTGAACATAAGACATTTAATATAAGGAAATTTGGCAACTCGCGAATGTTCATACGACGTTTTTCCTTAGCACGGCAGTATAGATCTATAAAACATACTGTGATAAAGGATGATAATTGGACGTATATTTATGCTGAACGGAACTATAGACGAGTGGCAAAGATGGGGTTTGAAGGTCCAGTTACACCATCAAATTGGGCCTCTCATTGGTCGCATCCTCACCTCAGGTATTTTTCCACCAATCAGAGTTTCAGTTTGATGGCTCAATTTGATCGTGTAACTGATTCTTGAGACCCGGATCCGCGGATCGTAGTGTCCGTCGTCGCCGATGACGTCACTGGCGCAAAAGAGAATAAATCGATCATATTGGTGGAAGCGGGTGGTTGCAATGAGCAAAGAAGGTAGGTAGTAGACAATCTAACAGCAACCCAAAGGAGAGCCTATAGTTAGTATATCATTTTCCCCCTAGTCTATAACAACCACCCGTTTCAAAACCAATAGGATCGCTCCATGTTCCTTTTGTCTTTTTTGTCCATTAATTTCAACTATCAGCACGCTAAAATCCCTTTGGAATCTCCAAAACATGCTCTTCTTTCTGTAAAAAGAGGGATCTACCTACTTCATGAGCAAGCTAATGCCGGAATCACACGCTGAAATTGGCAGCTGAATATGGAAGCCGACGGACGTCGCTCACCGACTAAAATTTCGGAAATTTGAGTCATTTTAATCCAGAGTTGTATCTCTATTCGAATAGTTCAGACAAACCTGACATTATTCGATGGTCGCTGAGCCTAGTTTCTGAATTTTGCGCGACACGCACTGGAAAAAAAAACACATTGGATCTAGAGTCCAGACTCTTAAAAACATCGACAAGACAAAGTACTCTTGATTCAATCAGATTTAGGTTCTAATCAGAATCTAGCTTAAATCAGGAACCAAGCCTCTTAATTTGAGCGGATTTCGTTTTGATTCAAGCAAAAAGTAGATTAAATCAAGAGTATTTTTTCTTGTCAATTTTTTCAAGAATCTGGACTCTAGATCTTATGTGTTTTTTTCAGTGCGTGCAAAATTCAGGCATCGGGCCGATGACTTCTACATTCAAGCCACATTCAGCATGTGATTCCGGCTTAATTCATGTTTCTTTTTTCTTTTTCTCTAATGATTGCTTGATGATTAGGTTCCCAATCCCGGAGACTCCCGTCCACCGTTCGAGCGAGAAACCTCAATCGAGCCGAAGAAGGAACGGGAAACGCAAAGTAAGAAATACAAAGCCCCATACCGCGGCGGGAGGTTGGGCCAGATCCCCGAGCCGAAAGAGGAGAGCGCGCAGACGCAGGCGCCGCCGCCGATCCTGGGAATGCGGGGTCCGATCCGGACGCTGAGCGACGGGGAGCTGGTCCCGCTGGAGGAGTACTACGACTCCAGGAGCTCGGAGGGACGGAAGAACGGCGGAGACCCTGCGGGCCGACGACTGCCGTCCCGGTACCCGCCGAAGCGGAGTTTCGCCGAGATGGTGGCGTCCCTCAACGCCGAGCTGGGCAACAGGACGACGACGGTGAAGGCGCCGTTCAAACCCAAGACGTCGAGCAGACCGCCCGGGGAGGAGGATCAGGAGAACGTCGTTGATGACGATCCCTTGGACTTCTCGTCCCCGGATGGTTTCAGCCTCTCCGGCAGCGAGCTCAAGGAGGTGTCCCTCGAGAGCGCTTCACTCAAAGGTAAGCATGCTTCCAGGACTTTATGCCTAGAGTCCCTTTATACTGAGAGTCAAGACAATGTGAATCCATTTCTGATTGGTTCCCGTATTTTAGGCCTTCGCAGTGTCACAAACAGGAATAAAGATTACATTTTCACCGATTGCAAAGATTATAATCTGAAATGGACCAGGGAATCACGGGTTCGGCAAGGAACAAACGGAATGAGAGGAGGAACGGAGAAAGGAGTTTGAGAATGGGCCGATCAAAGATTACGAAAAACGTCCAATTTCTGTAATCTTTATTCCCGTTTGTGACTCCATGAGGAGTGTTGTCTTGACTCTCAGTATAAAGGGACTCTATTTATGTCCACCTACCTTTCGTCCATTAAATAAATGTCCACCGCTATTTATGTCCACTAAACGTTTAGTCCAGTCTTTATTAAGTCCACATGATTTAATGTCCAACCATGAATATGTCCAAAATTGTCCGAATTGTGGACATGTTATGTCCGCATTTTTTTCTTCTCATTTGAATGACAGGAGCCACCTCAAAAATAAACGCATACTACTACTAGTTAGGTAGCTAGTATATTTTAAGACGTTCAACGTCACAGGCTATTAACGTCTTTACAGAGAATTTTGAAAATGGGAGTATATACGAAAATTTAGATTTTTAAATTAAGAGAGGTGAAGAGTTCCTTCATTCTTAAAAACATTTCATTCATGAATCAAGTCATGAAAGAGAACAGACTCTAAGAGTATATAAAAACACATGTTCATGTGTACACTGTACGGATATGATGAAAACCAAAGCGGGAGCCTAGGAAACGCTCCAATGCCAAATTAAACATTTTTCAGTAACAGATGCAGTCAAAATTGAAAGTCCTCTTTGACTAGTTATTTCGTGCGCATTCAATCTTGTAGGATACAGTGCAACGCCTCTGACGAGAAATAGTTGCTTAAAGCGTTGCGGCGCGTCAGGCGACCAGCGTGACACGCGTATAGGCGCCTACAAACCTAACGGGATACTTCACGCGTTGCGCAATGCGTGAAGTATCCTGTTAGGTTTGTAGGCGCCAGTGCGCGTTCTGCGCTGCTAACACGCCGCTCCGCTCTGTGTTAGGCTCTAATATTTAAACTCGCGGAGTCAGCGTTTTCAACTCATGATTTTGAAATGTTTGCACTCTCTGCATTGATTATTCCCTTTTAAACTGGTGAAAAAGAAATATTTACTACTGGAAAATTTAATGTGTTTTTTTGTAAATATAATAGTCGTTCCGTGTCAAATTTATTGATTTCCAAAGCATTCAAATTTATTCTTTTATGTTTTGGCTTTTACTGTGCTGCAGCGTGGTGTAAGCGGAACTAAACGCTCAAAATTGGACGTATTTGACTCAAGGAGGTCGATGTACAAATAAGTTAAAAACAAAAATTGCGTGCTTCTAAGTTTTTTTCCTATTTTATTAATTTTTTTATAGTTTCTTTCATCACAACTACGGCTCATTGATATACATATCGATACCATTTCTTGGAAAAGGTTTTAAAAATATTTACCACGTTTTAAAAATGTTAATGTTTTTAAAATGAAGTAATCAATTTCATTAAAAAAAAAAAAAAAATAATAATGTGCATTTAAGGCATATTTTATATCGGAAATTTCAAGGATAGAAACGAAACGAAATATTTACCAAAGACAATTTGAAAAGATAAATCGAAAGAAGAAATTAACATTTCATTTAAAATATGAGTTACGATAACAACACCTCATTCTCTATTAATTTTCTCATTTCGATATTGTCAATATAATTTTACACACGGACTAAAATATGAAGCTTGAATTTGATTTTAGTGGACTTTACATTTGTGGACGTAACTTAGTGGACGTTTCAGTAATGGACTTAACAATAGTGTGGGCTTCAGAACTGTGGACGTAAAAATTGTGGACGAAAAGTCTGTGGACGTAAAAAAAGTGGACATAAAGTCCGTGTACCCTATATGCTTCGATACATCAAATGGGTGAGATTGTATCGATATGGCAATCAATAAAAAAAATTACCCGTCCTCTGCGTTTGGGACCTTTCAGAATTATGCGCATTACTTATATAATTTCGGAACGCATACTCTGCCGTGTTGCCGCAGAAAGCAGTAAATGATGCAAAAATGCACCAAAAAATGCAAGCATAATGCAAAAATGAAAAAATTGACCTAATAGGGTTTAAGCGGAAAATTTTACGAGGCGGGCCCCCCACTCTTCATTAAATTTTTGATGATAGCTCGTGTAAGAAAAAAATTTATCAGTGAAAATGCCTTGCTTAAAACTCGTGCTGAAATAGTACACATTGATGCAATTTTTTACGAAGAGAATTGCCTATTTTATCGTCAACTTCTCTCCGTTTGAGAAGATTTTCCAATAAAATAACGATATGTATAAACATGATCCATCAGTAAATCCTGTAATTCATAATTTACAGGCGATTCCTCTAACAATTCTGAGAGCAGCAATATTCAATTCATCGATTCAAAGCCGATCACTAACATTACCTCATCAACGAAAGATGAAGCGAGCAATAATGGCACAAATCCATCCCCGGACACTCTTCCCTTGGCTAATGTGAGTAAAATTATCATTTCTTTTTCCTTCTAATTGGCACATTAGTTTTAATCTGTACAGTCACCTAATCTACCTCACTCTAACGTTTTATAGCCGCGGTTTGGTTTACTTCCCGTATCATCTGTGATTTTTGGAGAGGGCGGAATTAAACGATTTTCAAAATATAAATTTTACGGACTTTTAAATTAAATTGACGTCTTTTTAAAGTACCATGTCCATTCATCAAATATTAAATGGTGTAGGTGAAGCAGATTATATTAAAGTATATCATCGGAATGACACAATGCGTGTAATTTTCACATTGAAAAGTAAATTTTCAATCCTCCGCCTTTTTTAAAAATCACAGTCAAAAGGTTCAGTGCATGAGTATTTTAAGTGACATTTTTTTAAAGAATTTCAGTAATAATTTTTTTGAGTTATAGCTGTACCAAAAAATCAGGACGTTCCTTGCAACTTCCGTTACTTCAGATCCCCTTCAAAGTACCATGACATAAGCCTTAGCTTTTTAGGTAAGATGGATGTATTTTAGATGTAAAACATATTAGTATCAATTATTCTAAAAACATGGAAAAGTTGGTCTCTGCATTAATTAATAAAAAAAATTCATCCGTTAAAATCTTAAAAATGCTAAAAGTGGTCGACTTTTAGCCTCAACGCCGAGTTATTGAACTTTTTATAGGCCAATAGAGCTGGTGTATTTTTCCTGAATGATACCTATTTATCTCCAAATCGCAAAAAATGTCACTTAATTGCTCATTAACTGGATCTTTTCATGGCGAATACCTTTGAAACAACAAATCTTTTCTACAAGGGGAATACTAATCAACCTCAACAACGGTTGATTTGAGCTGGAGCTCCATACAAAATTGATGAGAATATTAAAACTTGTACATGTACATAAAGGTAGCTTGTAACAAAAATTAAGGGTGATTCAGCATTGAGTCCAGAATTGAGTCCAAAGATTAACTGTTTCAGAAATACAATTTTTTCCCCTAACCCTCAACTCTTGCAACATCCTCGAAGTTTAAAAAATGAAATATATTTTGTGACTTTTATGGATCGAATCATACAAAAATCGATACTCGTCGGTTACGTACATCGTCCCTTTCATTTTTTATATAAAAAAGGGAAAACTCATTTCGTGAGAGGAGAGGGGTTGAAGGGAGGTAGTTATAGAACCATTTAGATGTCTGAACTCATTTCTATAAAACTGTTGCTACCTTATCCCCCTCCTCCTTCGCAAAAAATGAGTTTTCCGTTTCTTAGATACATAAAGAGTAACACCCGAAATTACGCTATATACAGCCGTTCTCGTGCAGGAAAAGAGACTGTAGTCCACAAAAACTTAAAATTGCATTTGTGGTGCCATGACAAGATAAAGGAGTTTTCATCTATAACATTTCAAAAGGGAATTGCTGAAAACTGTTAAAATAAGTCAAAATTTTGACGGTTTGGAGTTTTGTTACAAAAAAAAGTAGCTCTTTCAAGAAAAAGCTACCTGAGGAAAATTTTAAACTTCTCTGTTTTGCACAAAATTACTGGATTATAATAATATATTATTGCGCTCTTGGTACAAAAATCAACTAAACGCTCAAGATCTATTTTTTAGGACACGACAGGGAGTTCTTCATCAACATTTCAAAATCCGATATTTGATCAAACCGACAAAAATCCGATCATTGAAAATTTCACCTCCGTGTGACCAAGGTCTCTTTCCCTGAGGACGAGCACATCATACACACATAATAAATAGAACGCATAAAAGTTTCAGATATTTAGAAATGTTCAATTCTGAATCACCCTGTAACACAAGTAGGAACGCAGCGGTTGAGTGGTTCCGAGTTGAAAGGCTCAAAATGTGAGACTCTCGTGATACACCCAAGAAAGAGGAACGGACTTAAAATGCCGATTGGATTTGGCAACGCATTCAAATGCGACTTGAGAGACACGGGTCCAGACTGTGCAAAGAGATGACGACAGGAGAAAGTATGAGCAACCGCGAATGACGCCATGCGTGTTTCAGATCATCGTGTTATATCAATCACGACCTCTCGGGACATTTTCCCTATTGCTCTCTGTTCTTTGCGTATGTTCCGCCCGAAAATACGCTTTATTTATTGGCGGCAGCCCTCAGACATTGTAACAGCTCGAATGGAGCTCCTGCATGCTTGAGGGATTTGTGCTTTAATTGGACTGTATTTTGCAATTTGGAACTATAGATTCTGGCTCTTCTTGAAAAACACTTAAGTGCATCGGGAAATTGATGGCACATACGTTGTTTTTAAACCGGGCTAGATTTTATAGTTCCAAATTGCGAAATGTAGTCCAATCGGACGTATTATGCTAAAAGGGACTATGTGCGAGTGGAAAGATGGGGTGTGCTCTTGCAAGCTGCATAAGATATAATGTGAAACTGGATATAGTTCCTTCTGAGAAAATGGAAAAGCGGGATTTTTAATGCAATCAAATGGAACTGAGCGCTACCTCGTGATCCGTGGGTGTGTGGCAAGAGTTAAAGACCGCCTTGCTGATTGTCGGTACACTCGTCGTTGCCGCTGACGTCACTGGCGCTTTATATTTCTCGTTCATTCTTATGGCCTGAGTACTAACGAGCACACCACGTCTTTCCACTTGCACACAGTTCCATTTAGCAAAAATATGTCCAATTACTGATTCCAAAGTAAAATTTCGCGAGAAACACGATGATGCCACTGATGTTCTCTGAAATCAACTTCAAAGCTCAAAAAAAAGCTCTGAAAGTTCAGGCCGTAATGGAGGGGATATTCACGCTACACTGAGAGTCCACCTCTATATCAAGACAAACTCTCTACGTAATGATGGGGAGCAAATACATTAAGAGGGTAGGCATTTTATTTGGGGACTCCTAAACTGAAAACACGGCAACCCTGCTAATGTATTTGCTCCCTATCTTAGCGTTGTCTAAGCAGTTTGTCTTATTGGTGTAGAGGTGGAGTCTCAGGTTAGCGTGGGATATTTTTTGAGCTTTGGAGTTGAAACCAAAGGAAACCAATGGCACCATTATGTTTCTCGTGAAATTTTACCTAGGAATTAGGGCTTAAATCGCAAATTCCTGAAACATGCAAAAACTTCATTTGTTATGGAATCGTCCTTTTGGACTCTTTCGGATGTGAGGAATTACTAAAAATTTAGTCTTAAAATTAGAAAAAAATTCAATCTGCCTACTGATCTAATGCCACGTTTCAATTCACTGTTGAAACTGAGGAGGCACGTATCTGGATTTCGATGTCTTACAAGTACCGTTCGTGTTCTTTTTCAAGAAGATTTCTCTTCAAGAGAGGTTCCAAAACTGGACGGTCCATTTTCAGATGAGCCCAAATCCCAAATGTACATAAAAACACTAATTTTTGTGGTTCCATCTGAAAATGGTTATCATCCCGCCCTGAAACAAACCCGTACAAGTATCTTTGCAAGCAGTCGGAGAATATTCTTGAGAAAGCAAAAGAAACACGCGGAAAATACTATCCGATGGTGAAGTTTCAAAACATTCGTCTATATGTTTGTCTGGGGTAACTTTGAGAATCTGATATGTCAATATGAATATTCTAAGATTATTCGTGGAAAAGCGAATGCAGATAATGTGGAATTGTATGCAATCTCAAGAATTAGTCATCCTCCAAAAAAATGTAAATCCGACAGGAAATATTTTCAAGTTCGACCATCCACCAATACGTCAGATGGGGACGCATTACGTCAGAGTGAGACGAAGGAGAACAAAGAGAAGACGAAGAAGAAGAAGAAGAAGAAGAAAAGGAGGAAGAGGGAAAAGAGGAATTCAAAAGAGATTGAGAAAACGTGAAGGATTAAAACGATGATAGAGAAACTCTCCCTCACTCCCTGTTCTTTTAATAATGTCTTTCCTTTCTCTTCTCCTTCTTTTTCTCCTCCTTAATTCATCTCCTCTTCTTCTCTACCTACCTCTTTCATTTCTCTTCCTCATTCCTCATGCTTTTTCCTCTTCCTTCAGTTCCCTCTCCCTCTCTTCGTTTTCCTTTTTTCCTCCCTTCTTCATGTTCCTCTCCTTGTTCCTCACTACTCCTCTTTAATTCCCTCTTTTTCTTCCGATTTCTGATGCGTTCCTCTCTGACATAAGTCACGAGTCTTCAATGGCGTGGCCTGCTTTGCGATATATCGATTGATCTGCCTTTTAAACCTGTTGAAAAGGATCGATAAACAGGGTGCTCACAACGAACACCCTCATTATCGATTCTTACCATAGCTTCAAAGAGGAAATATCGATAATCGATCATTCACGTCTCACCACTGGAGAGTCCGTTTCCGACTCGGGTGCATCAGGAACTTTGTTTGGTTTGATACTACCTATAATTGAGCCTCGAAAGAGGTGCACTTAAGGCCGTAAGCTTGTGGATAATTACGAGATGATACACTGTGAAGTTGGCAAGAACTCAGAGCTTGTTAATTAACCACTCTGAGCTCGGAGTGTCGTGGTGAGAGTTGAGTTTAATGGCGGTTACGTTGAATTATCAAACCGAAAACGATGCATGAGGTATTGAGTGTGTTTGTGCATAGCAAGGCGTACATATAAATGTCTTTTTAAATTTTCTTGGATATTTTGTAAAATTGAAATCTTGAAAATACAGAGAAAAATGAAGACATTCCTGCCACACGGGTAACCTAAACTAGGGAGCCACTGACCAAGCCCATACCGGATCTTGGCAATTTCTTTGCTTCTTATTAGTGGCTAGGCGTGAGTGATCGATTATCGACATTTCCCCATTTAAAGCTGTGGTAAAGAATTGATTATTAAGGTGTTTGTTGCAAACACCCTGTTTATCGATCTTTTTCCATGGGCTTAAATGACAGATCAATCGATACATCGAAAAGCACGCCACGCCACTGATTTTCACGCAACCGTAATGTTATCACTATCTATCACCAGATGGGTAATCGAACTTGTTAAGAGAAGTGCATCATAAATGGATTTCAAACTCCGTCAACTTTACATGTCAAGGGGTAGAAACACGTCAACTGCTAGTGCAAATATGGGATGCAATATGTAAAGTTCGGTTTTACCTACTTCCACTTGTAATTTTTGGTTTATTTACAACACTTATCATTAGGAACAAAGTTACAGCGTTCCAGTTGAACCTCATGTACAGTTGGGTTTCTAAAAAATGTAAATATTTAAACATCACAGCTTTCTAGCCTGCTTTTAACCTCTTTCTCTTTGCAGGACGTAGAGTTTAGTTCCTCACCTCTAACAACAACCTCTAAGTTAACAACCACAACCCCGAAAAGTCCCCCGAAAACGACACCCAAACCGTCAGCAAAATCAACCCCTAAGCCCGCCCCAAAAGCCCCCGCAAAAACAACAGCTCCCCCGAAGGCCACACAAAAGTCCACCAAAAAGCTAGTGACTACGACCAGAAAACCGGCGACAACAAAACCTACAACGACAAAAAAACCTGCAATAACTACCAAACCCCAAACAACAACAACAACAGCTTTCCCGACCTCGCTGAAACCTACCACCGTGAAAGTGATCAACATTGATGATCTTTTCGGGAGGGACAACTCTCAAGCTAACATCATCCAACGAGACACGCAGTCTGTCGAGGGGGTGAATACCCTCAATGAAACGACCACAGAACGAATAGAATCGATCGTTGCGGTTCCTATTACGACATTAATGACCGAAAATCCGACGACAACAACAACAACAACAACGAGGACGACGACAACTACAGAAACACCAACATCAACGACAATAACAACACCAACGACAACGACCGAGAAACCGATGACATCGACCGAAAAAGCATCGATGAAGGCAGAGGTGCCATTCTTCATCTACGGTCTGTACCCGAACGGGACGGTGGTACGGAGGTTCCCGAACGGGACGGTGGTACCGGAAGAGGACGCGTCGGACCACGTGGAGCAATTGGCGAAGCAGGGCGACGCCCGAGATATGGCGCTCTTTGATGAGATTATAAGCAGAGTGGCGAACAAGAAATCGCTCCCGCTTCAGTCGGCCAACCTTCAGACTCAGGCCCCGGTAAGAGTAACTCCTTCCTCCCGCCAAAATCGGGGTTACGCAGACGAAAATCTGACCGCCTAACTATTAAGGACTTCCTTAGTTGTGATTACCATCTAGTCGGATTCTCCGACGGTATATTCTAGATTCTGAGATTTCTAGATTCTACAGAGGGGAGCTCTCGCATGCCAAGAGAATGTGCGATTCAAAATTTCACGAGTAACACGATTGTGCCACTGGTTTCCACTAAAACAAACTCTCAAACTGCAAGAAAAAACTCTAAAATCACCGTTGCAACATTGTTGCAATGGTACGTCTTGGAGACTTTAACGCAAGGTTAAGAAAAAAATCTCGCTCTCTATTCGGGAGGTGGATTGTTTACTAATGCAATGTTATCTATCATTAATTTTTTTTACCAAAATTCGGTGTTTCCGATGCGAAATTGCAATGTAAGTCCTGGAGATTTTAACGCGAGGTTAAGAAAAAAACTCATCCTCCAACCGGGAGGTTGATGGTTCATTAATTCCATGCTATCTCTCTTATCTCTCATTTTTTTTTGTACCAACTTCGGTGTTACCTATACGAAATTGCGATGAAATCCTGGAGACTTTAATGCAAAGCTAAGAAAAAAAGACTAAGCAACGGGGGAGACCGGTGACCTGTCTATGGACGTGACAAAAAAATTGCCAAGTCTCCGGACATAGGAATTTTGCGAACGGAGTGTAGTACATATAGGTCATTCCGTCTATTTATTTTAATTTTAAGGTTCGCTTCAAAGAAAACCAATGGCACCATCGTTTTTTCGCGAAATGTTACAAAGGATAATCCGGCGACATGTGAGAGCTTAATTGGATATCAATGGCTAAACTCTAAAAACGCAGAACACAATTACAGTGTTTTAAAATCTTTTTTAATATATTATTCCTTCAAATTAAAATAAACGGAATATAACGGCTTTAAGTTTTTCCAGAATAATTTTGAATGAGCGAAGAAAAATCAATGACGGCTTTAAGAAATAATAAGAGGTCGTTTTTTCTCAAAAAATAAAATATTAGAGGCAATTCCTCACGTCATATCTCACCTGCTCTCAGAGTTTAGCCATCGATCTGTCACGGGCAATAAGTCAAGTTGGATATTTTATCAAAAGCCTAAGCAGTCTTTCAATTCTTGATAATTTCCGGATTTTTTTCTGATTTTTACGCACCAAGTTCTTTGAAGCTCCTTTGAACTGCGGATTTTCCAAAAATTACCGCTTCATATTTGATTCTAAGAAATTCTTGAGGTTCAAAGTGCGGGTACTTCTTTTTTATATTAAATACTGCAATGTTTTGGTAAACACGTCTACTAAAGAGCTAAAAATAAATAAAACTGCCTTTAAATAATCTCATATTTAACTGAAAATTCGTATTCACGCTTTCAAAGCACTGTGTAGTCAAAACCAAGCAAAAGATTCTTGATTTTAATCTAACGATGAGTAAGAGTGTTTGACCATTTGTCAAGGCATTTGACAAAATGTCTGATTTGACTGTTGGACTTCGATAATTATGAACAATAGCAATGACATAATCTATTTCAATACTTCCGATGAAAATCAGTCGGATGTATCGCTACTGTATGATTCATTATTAATAGCGTCAATAACATGATAATGGGAACAGAAGGCTGCAGAAGGTAATAACGAAGGGTTGGTTACAAGTGCATCGCGGCCTGGTTTTCAGTTTTGGGAGTGGTGATGATTACTCTCGTCACTGGTGATTCATTTCACAGGAAGTATGAATTTAATTCAACAGAATAGGAGCTCAGGAGATAATCGCATTTTCAGCCTCAGCATTAAAATGTATAGGAATGAAGCGATAAAGTTATCATTCTAATGTAAAGTTTTTGGAATGAACGTAACTAAACTACAAATCTTATTCTGACTTTAAGTAACCAAAAAGAAACTAATGTTTTCACAAATGAGGTTCGGTTTATTTCTGTTGAATTAAATTCATTAACCTTTATGTGATCCTTTAGATTAACATTTACAAGATACTGTATAATTATACCTGATTGTCGTAGTTTGTCACTAAATTGGAGTAGTTAACACCTGTCACTTCACCTCTGTATCGAATCACCAATGTAGATTTCAATTAAATCACGAGAAAATATGACGCAATTTTTCCTTCATATTAGTGCACTATCCAATCATAGAAAATCAATACCTATAAACATGAGTTGCGTATTATTCAATGTCATGAATTTGCAAGCTTCCACATTGGATCTATTTTTTTCTGATTCCTCTAATTCAAATAGTTATAGAGTATCCTTCTTTAGCGTTATCTTTTACACAGTTTTTAACTTTTATATCATTGACCAATTCAATTTTAAAATTGATTGTTATTAAACGGCATAGTATTTCTAGCATACTGCTTCGTTACGGAAGATAGCCGTAATTGCATTCTGGAATGATCCTCGAGACACGTAAGAGTACGTGCTAACCATGGCTCATACGAAATCCACTTATTGGTCTCCAGGAGATTTTGCAACACTGTTTTCTCACCATTTAAATCCATTAAGGATATCGATTTTAGGTGAGGCAGCCTGCTGCCTCACCAAGAGCCGATTGTTTCACGTACATTTAAATGGATGAAATACAGCGTTGCCAACTTTTAAGACCTTCCACCGTCCCAGAATGCACTTGCTGCTTTTTTCTGTAACACGGCAGCTTAGTCCTTGATGTATTTCACAAATAGGTTAGAATATCTAGGATGCATATTTTCACTTCACCCACGCGTCACAAACTTCCCTGCAAGAGATCTGATCGTTTCCTCTTTTTTGTTCCACAGAGTACAGAGATCTCATCAACAACAACTTCCTCTCCTGCGACTTCGGCGCAAACAACTGAGGGTATAGTAATAACACCCCTAACTACCGAGTTCTCATCAGTTACGACGGAAACGACAACCGTCTCTACAACTGTCCCTACAACGCTGTCAACAACAATGAAATCACCGGCCTCAACTACCGCGGCGACCCCAAAGCAATCTCCATCAACTCCATCAAAAGCCACAACGGTGAAAGTGACGACAAAAGCGCCCCCAAAGGCCACAACAACAACGAAAAAACCGACTCCAAAACCACAAACTAAACCGACCACAAAACCGCCGGCTAAAACAACACCGAAATCAACACCTCCAACTACGCTGAAATCCACGACAACAGCTGCTCCGACGACTACAACAACATCTGCTCCGACGACTACAACAACATCTGCTCCGACGACTACAACAACATCTGCTCCGACGACTACAACAACATCTGCTCCGACGACAACCACATCTGCTCCGACGACAACCACAACCTCAACGACAATTACGACAACCACAACCTCAACGACAATTACGACAACCACGAGACCTCCGGCTCCATCAACGACCAAAAAAGCGCCAGAGATGACCGCCAAAACCACACCTAAATCCGCATCGATAATCGCCACAACAACTCAAACAACAACGACGAACGCGAATAAGCCAATGGCTGCTTCGATGACGTCAAAGACATCCGCTGTCATGTCGTCGACCACGAAGAAACCTCAAACAACCACGGTCAAAAGCACCCCTGCCGCGAAGGTAGCTCCAGTTAAAATGGCGGTACCCCCGACTACCCCGAAAGCCAGTGAGAAAACAACCGCTAAACCTCTCCCGGTCCCCTCTACGCCGACGATGACTGTGAAAATGGTCACGACCTCGACTCTGGCACCTGCAACAACAGAGCAATCAAACGAACAGACAAACGGCACGGTGTCTGCCAAGACTCGTGAGGAAGATCTAGCAGAATTGATGAGTATTATGCCTGTACAAAACAGTGTCAGCGATCAAAGTGTCGAAGAAACGTCTATCAAAACGTCATCTTTGAGCGCTGAAAATATGTCAGTCGTTGAGTCAATGGTAAGTGATCGGCGTTTCGCTGGGAATATGGATGCCGTGTAGAATAGTTTAGTAGATTGACAAATTCTCGGATACGCTGAGGAGATGAGTTATTTTTGTATTTATTTATTTTGTGATGGTAATATGGTTCACTGATATTATTACTGTATGGTAATGATTAACGTATTTGTGAAATGCTCAACAACTTTTGCATCCTCTCATTGGGTGTCCCAGGATTAACCAGCTTTAATTTAGGGGGCGATTCAGGTCACCACATTCACATAATGACGACAAGCATCAAGAGAAAAATCGATCTCAACATCGACAATCAACATAGAGGCGTATCTCAATTTCCACGTGAACCCTGATTTCCATAGAAATCCATGCCTTCTGGGGCCCATGCGGGAATCGAGATACGTCTTTACGTCAAAGGAGCGACGATACGTTCATTTACACCGGGAAGACCCATATGTTACCCTTAATTACCCTTATTGTTCATGCTCAAGCAGACACTTCTTCTCCTTTTTCTCTTCTTCTTCTCTTTATTTTCTTCTTCCCCTCTCTCTTCTTCTTTTTCCTCATTTCCGTTTTTTATGCTTTTTCCTGTTTTCCGTCTATCCCTCTTCCTTACCTTCTTTTTCTCATTGGTATTCTTCTCCTTTCTTCTCTCTTCTCCATTTTCTCCTTTTTCTCTCTTTTCCTCTTCTTATTTCTTTTCCTTTTATCCTCTTTCCATATCTCTTCTTTCCCTCCTTTTAATTCCTCTTTTTCTTTCCGCCTCTTTTCTTCCTCGTATTGTAGCCCTTTTTCTGCCTTTCCACTTTGATACTCCCAATGCAACTAAGTGCTTTTAAAATGAGCGAAAAATAGTAGTTCCTTTTTGTAAAATGTAGTCCAATTGAAGATCGCTCAGTCTCTCTCTCTGCGGATCATTTATGATATTTTAGTTTTACTAGGTACAGAGGTACAAAAGTATTTCCTGCCAATAAAATTTTTCAGTCAGTTAATAATCATTATCGACTTGATTAATGGGACATAGGAAGGTATCGCAGGCACTTCTTTTAAAAAAATATGCATGGTGTCGAAACAGGGAGATTGATGTGTCACACGTTTGGTCCATTCCATGTTATACCGGCAAGCACTTGGTATTCAGCTCACCAGGAAATTCTTCAGAGCCATTCTAAATGCCTCGTTGTCATACTTTAATACTTTCCTGCTGAATACCTCTGCAGCCTCATAACATATTTCACGTTGCCAGGTTGAGACGAGTAATAGTTTCGTTTTAATTTTATGCAATAGCATGCTTTCATGTTTTTTGGAATGATATTACTAATTGGATGTCTGCTTATATCATTTACATAATTAACGGATCACTTGAGTTCTAAGGTCAAATTAACGGGGGAAAGTGAATGTGGCCGATTGTGTGTGAAATGGTGTTTCATCTGCATGGAAGGTGGAGGAAACTTAATTGAAGCATGAGTCGGAATGCATTACATTTTTTGTTACTTTTTTCGGCAACAAGCCGATTTTATCTTCCAATGTAAATTTTGCGCTTCTTTAACCTTTCCATTTGCATTCTGATTGCTGCGTTTGGCGCTGCAGCCGGTGAGAGCTTCCTTTCAAGCGCGGCGTATTGTAGTTATTCATTAGCGAAGTTCTCAGTGGTGGAATCTGGTTGATTTTTTAACAATCGCTTAAGCCCGCAGTCAAATATTTCTCTGACTTGTTGGCCACGATCATCGCGCGTTGAGCATTATTAACTTTCAAATTCGCTCTCACAAACTCTTTCATTAAAATCTACGGTCTCCCTGACACAGTGACGATTTTGCAAGTTGGCAGCACTGTTATTCCTTCCATTTAAATCTATTAAAAAATATCGATTATTAAGGAGGCAAGTTGCCTTACCAAGAATCGATTGTTTTACATGCATTTAAAGTGAAAAAACACGGTTGCCAACTTTCAAGAATCGCCACTGCCCTGACATCGATATGGCCACCTAATGTCTGCTAAGTGTAGCTAAAACTACGCCTTTACGCCAATGGAGGCTCTCGGATTTTGCAACACTAGATCTGCTCGATTTAAATGTATTTCAAAGAACTGATAATATCGATGCACGCTGCGTTACTTGAAATCGATCTTTTATGTTGTATTTAAATGGAAGAAAAGCGATGTTGTCAACCTGCCATTAAGTCGCCCGGTTCTTGCCCAGCACATTAAAATTACCTGATTAGAAAATGAATGAGTGGGCCACTGATTGGCTGACATTTAAAGTATTCGTAACTGTGCGCCTGCTGAGATACTGAGTTAAATGTCATCTACACGTCAATAAACAGAGGGCATATACCTACCCATAAAGCTTTGAAAAAGCGCATATCTCATAGATCATCCTGATACATTTTACGTTCTTTAATTGAAGGCTCCTTTGCATACAGATTATTTCTACGTGAGGACGTCAATTTATTAGTAGGAGACTAACGCAGCCATTAGTTCAGTTACTTAACTTTATCGAGAGAGTGATTAATTTACTCATCCTGAATAAGACTCAACCGCAAAACATCGACAATATTTTCAACCTACAATACCGACGCAACATTACGGGTTTATTCCAATTCCCAATATTACTAGAAAATGTTGATGTAGAATATTTTCCCGTATTAAAGCGTTCCCACAATGTTTTTTGGCGCTCTAAAAAAAATCGCATGAATTTTTCAGAATATTTATTTGCGAGTAAACTGTTTCCCACCAGACTATTCCAAAAGAAAAATTATCTCTTAACATTACCATTCAGTATTTGAGAGAAGTAAAAATGTATAAGATACCTAATTGACAAGAAATTATTCAAAATACGGGTCAATATAGTTGGCACAGGCATAACACACTTTGTGGAAAGTTTAAACATATTTTAATCCTAAAATAAACAAATTAACTGCAGGCAAATTTCGTTCACTTCATTTTTTATTTACAGCGCTCAAAACACTTTTAGGGAAACCTTACCTTCCCCTCTGCACTTACTAAAAACATTAAAAAGTACGGACCATGATCCTTGTTTATAACGGTATTTTTCATATGTATCAGAAAAGAATCATTGCACGTAATACAAAGAGGTTAAACGTTCTGTTACCCATACATATTGGTGTTTTCAATAAACCATAGGAGAGGCCATGAATTCAAATATTTATCCTACAGTATCAATGCGCGCAAATTTATTCATGCTTGAGAAAAGACTGATACATGATAGAAAAAAAATACCGAAAAGCAATTTCACAGCATCTTCATCTAATTTGATTTTTCCGCAGGTAAAACTGGGGGAGAAAAGCCAATTAGTTATGGACATGATAGAAGCGGCTAAGCTGACAGGAGAATTTGAAACAGATCCAAATGTATTGGCCAATAAAGTAAGTGTTTTAGGTCTCATTTTGTACTTCCTTACAGATCTCATTTCACTCGACAAAAAATTGAGCTTTGTGTCCGTTTTTACCACTCCAAGTTGATGACAATTTTTGTGTTTGAAAAAGTCTCTTCATCCAGGCCGGATAAATAGTTGCGCATGAGGAGCGACTGCACCAAGCGCCATCAAAGCTAAAAAGAAGGGCAACCAAGAGTTCTCCTCCGTAATTTGTGGCAGAACCGAATGAACAATGCGTAAATCTATTGACAGATACATCGTTTACTTGAAAAGCGCCTTCCATTATGCTGCATAGGCAACACACATACCATGGAGCGCGAACTACCCATTCTGAAACTTATAATTATCTCCCTCTTGGGTTTTTTTGCTGAAATCAACAAACAATGCGTCGGTAGAACTACTAGCAGGTATCGTCCGCCTAAGATTCGCCTTCAATTTTGCCGCATATGCAACCAACAAACCGAGGAGCGTGAATAGTTGAATATTTATTAGAAAAAATACAAATTTTTATCGTTATAACCTATGATAAAGCCAATGAGGAATGCTAAACTTTTTACAGACATTGTTAACTGAAGGTTTGCCTATTAAAGATATAATCTCTAAATGTTATTCATCTTGTGCACTACATTCAGTTGTATTTTTATGTTTCTAGATAATTGAATTGGCCATCGAAAGAGCGAAGAATATGCAGAAAAACTCAAATGATAACCAAAAACTTGTGGTGAGTCCGCATGATCAACTGTTCTCCTCTTTGCCTCTCTTACGATTCTCTAATTTTGGACTATGGTAGACTGTCCCACTTTCACCAAACCATGAAAAGTTGTTGATTATGACCGATATTCCGCAATCTGATTAATACAGACTAACATAACATCTTATATCAAATCGTGCAAAGTAGCTTTTACTTGTCGTTTTTGTCTCTTTATTTCATCACTGTCTGTGTACACTGAATTCATTTCTAGAAAAATATTTTTAAATTTTTGATCCTCCGTAAATCTCACTCGTAGATTTTGTTTTTAATTAATATTGCTCCGTCTAATTCGTTTAATAATGTAGCCATTTTTAAGTTTCAGACCATTGAAGTTTTTTAATAGACATTTTAAATGTTCTCTCGTAAAATCATTGATGATCATTATTTGTCCTTCAAGGGTTTGTAATGTATACTTTTTTCATGTTTTAGGAGTCCAATCGAATTGGTAAAAGTCTAGAAAATAGCATGAAAACTGAAGGAATGGCTACAGAGGAATTTAAAAGCGAAGTTGACAATTCTACATTGAACATGTTATTGAATAACGAAGATAGGGCTAAGGTAAGAATACTATACTATATTTTAATGATTTTTTTCCTATTATTTGTAGTTAACAATGACCATTTCTTGATCAATAGCTTGGCTCGACAAGGTCCCACTATTTATTTACACAGGCATATCTTGAGTAAAACTCTTACTCATCTCAATTGGTACAGTGTAGAGTTCCGGCTTTCTTTCATGAGGAAAAATTCGCATTACAGAGCGTGTATAACCTTAGAAATTCTTTTTTCCCCTCGCTGACGACCATGCTATAACAAGTCTATGTAAACAGAAGAAGCGCCATTTTAGTGTGGAAAAACTTAACATTTCAGTATTGACACTGCCCCTTCCAAGAATATGTTTCCAACATTTTGGCACAAAAACTCCAAGAAATTCGCAAATTAAACGGGAGTTTTGACGACATTAAGTATGGGTAAAAAATGCGGTTTCAGGGAAAAAATTATTCAAATTTAGTGCCAGTCCCTCATGACCTAAATCATTTAAAATCACACCTAATTACATACTTTTTTGTTCTTCAGCTGAGCCAGGCGGAGATTTTAAACGCAATCTTGTCATCTCCGGATATTCTTGGACCAAACGCAAATCAAATCACGGTAAGTTTGAAATATAAATGGCTTGTGGACCTAATTTATTACCGATGTGGACATATTACCTCTTTCGGTTCATTAAAGTTAGTACGAAGGTGCCATACTCGTAAGTGAAATAAATGATTATTCTAAATATTTTAACTTCCCCGGGTGAATTTCTTAGAACTAAGCACTCCCTGGTAAAAATCGGGAGTAGAATGTGTGTTCCAAAATACTATGGACCTAAAGCCAGCTGTAAGATTTCCAATAGCTTCTGTAGCCGGCTGTACAACTTCTTATAGCCTTTTATAGCCGATGGCGATTAAGCAACAGCCAGACGATAAAGTTTATGCTAAACGTTACTAAATACGGATACAAGGACTTAGTTAGTTTTTGGACTACCACTCTCTTTTTGTGCCGTAGTATCTTGATTTATTTTGCGAGGAAAGCTCCGTACTTTTGAAGGATGCCTGTCATTCTTAATATGTTGGAGCGTCTTCAATTTCTTATGCTACTGTGCAATACCTCTGGTGTGAAATAGTTGCTTCAGACGCCGTGGCACGCTGCGGCGCGACGGGCGGGCAAAGAGCGCGAAACGTGCATTGGCGCCTACAAACCTATCAGGGATACTTCACGCATTGCGCAATACGTGAAGTATCTCTGTCAGGTTTGTAGGCGCCAATGCGTCGCCGCTCCGCTTTGTATTAGGCTCTAATATTTAATCTCGCGGAGTCAGCGTTTTTCAACTCATGATTTTGAAATGTTTGCACACACTCTGTATGGACCATCTCATTTTAATTGATGAAGAAACAATATGTTTTAAAGGAAAATATAATGTGTGTTTTGTAAATATTAAGATAGTTCCGTATCAAACCTAATGATTTCCAAAGCACGCGAATTTCTTTAACACAATTTCTTATAGCCTTTTATAGCCAATGGCGATAAAGTGTAAAGCCCGACGATAGGAACTACAGCCCGACTGTATACTTTTTTATAGAATCGTACAGCCCGGCCATATGATTTGCTCCGCTTCCTACAGCCAGCTATATGATTTTCAATAGCCTTCTTTAGTCGGCTATAAGAACTCCTATGGTATTTTGAAACGCAGCTCGTATCGCCAATTTTTACCAAGGCTTGTTGAGAGTTTTTCCAACACTTACTTAGTCAAAAACTGGGAACATCTGAACGTAAACTAATGAAACAAGATTCGTGAGAATTTAGAGATTCTCATTTTTAGGGTAGACTGTCCCGCACTCTCGCAGAGATAGTCGGCTTGTTAGTCCAAATGTTCTCTCTTTAATTTACTGTCATTTCAATCAATTTCGTTGAAATATGTCCATATTTTCTTACAGAGCTACGAGAAGAAAACTACGAAAAAACCGAAGAAGAAGAAACCTACGACAACAACTGCAGCTCCGTTGCGGTTATTGGGCCTGCTCGGGAACCTTCGAGTGAGTTGAATTGGACGTATTTCTATCAAACGGAACTATGTGCATTATGACGTGAGCCCTGTTAAGCACGTATTCTTATGGGTCTCAGGGCCCATGTCTTAAAGCACATATTTCCGTTTGATAGAAATACGTCCAATTAATTGTTTATTTTTAACATTTTACAGGTATAGTACCCTCGGTTTACTGGTACATATCACATGCCGATCTTACACTTGCAAATCGATGGTTGAACTCGGAAAATTTATATCTTCATTGCAAAGTTTCAAAATCTCCGTTTTGATTCATTATTTTTAATTTTGATCATAAAAAAATAACCTTACTTGTTTGAAATGTCTGCTGATGATTTCGAAATAATGAAGAAAATTCCCTGAAAATTTCCCCAGGGCCCAGACGGAAGATTCAACGGTAAAGCGGTCCAGGCGGGCGGAGGGTGGAGTGCTGCCCAGAGGATGGCTCCTATACTCACCGTGTAAGACGGAGTCCCCCGTAAGAAACGCGAGTTATTTTTTCTCCCATAAGACCAATCTAATTTTTGAGTTCAAATCCTCATTTTCCTACTACTCACGTTTTTCATAGTTTTAGCGTCAATCTTCAAAAGTTCAATCGTTAGGATTTTGTTCTACGGAAATTGCGTTAAATTTTGAAATAATAGTCCACAAAAATATATTGAGAACGTTCTTTTTTTCTCAGAACCCGCCGAGGCAAACATCCTCTTCAGACTTCGGAGACTTTGATGAGAACGACCAACCAGATGCCACGAGCGATTTTGGAATGGATGACACCGTAAGTTTTCCCTCTCTTTTTTTTGTGTTAACCAGCCTAAAAATTATGGCCTCTATGTCATTTTGCCCGCGTCATTTTTTGCCTTCATTTTTACATATAGACAAAAACAGCACATTCTGAAATAAAGATCACATCCTCGGAGATGGTTGCTTCTATTTCGGCCATGTTTATCTGCCTATTTCTGTGTCTATCTCTGCTTCTCTGTATGTTCCTCTGTTTCATCTCTGTTTTTATCGCTGTTTCAGTACGGGAGACCGATGAACGAGGGTCTTTTAGGAGCAGTCTTAGAAGTCACCAGAGCAATGTCTCGACTCATGGCCACTGTCGTTCAGGTTTATATTACTGTTACTTTTTCACTTTTGACATTTTTTTTGCAGCATATTGCCTATCTTTTGTATTAGTAAGTCTCTAAATGTTTCAAGTATGAGCTGCACTCAATGTTAGGAAACTAGAGGGTCAGCAATTCATTTCAACGCCTACTCCGGTAAAGGATTGCCGTGAGTTCTTCTCGACTAATAGCTGCAGGCCTCTAAAATAGTGTAACTGGAGGATAAGAGGTTTAGGGGTTCTCCATGATATACAGGGTGTCCCAGGATTAAATACGAATATTGAAGGAGTCGATTCTACGGGTCAAAAGGAGACGTTTCAGTGATATACATTTTTTCCTAAAACGCTTTCCCTGGGCGCGACGACTCCCCAAAATTGGAGGAAAAAAATCGTCTTTTTAACACTGCGGCAATGTTTATCAACCAGTATTAATGAAAATTGGTGACTGGAAGTAATTTTTAGCGTTCTTTTCATTTTTGACCTCCAAAAAAGGTACCTAAAACTCATTTTAAGGGGGGGGTGGGTACCGAACCTAAAAGTGGCCAAAATTAATGTTTCTAGCGACAAAAATTAACTTTTGACGGCACCTCAAGATTCAGCGTTGAAAAATATTGAGAAAATGTAACCTGCGTTTTTTCGCTTTAACTCATCGTTTTCGAGATAATAGGGACTGATAGGGAATAATAGGAGCTGATAATAGGGGGTAATGGGGCCCCCACGGAAAGCGTTTTTCGAAAAAAAGTTATACCACAAAAACGTCTTCTTTCAACCCAAAGAATCAATTCCTTCAATATTCGTACTTAATCCTGGGACATCCTGTATGTAACACTCCCGGAAGAGGTGTGGGAGAGAGAAAGGATTTCAATGACGTCACTCGAGGAAATGGGAATAAAATTGATCTTTGCGCACGTAACAATCTGTGTGCCAAATTGTGAGTTTTTTAAGGGGAGGGAGGAGCTCATCCTCAAATAATAATCTTAAAAGCTGTTGTTAATTTTCCTTTTTGTTAAGTTGAGATACTATCCTCTGATCAATTTTGTTTAAGTAGTATCGTTAATGGGGAAGAGGGCGCGAGCTCGAGTTTACAAGTGCTTCTCAAGGTGTAAAATTGAGATAAAAAAATATAAAATATATATATAAAATAGCTTTAGTTTATTATTTGAAATACGCCCTTTTTGTATGCGTCTAAAACACTTGACCATCTTTGCCCACCACCTTGTTCTCCGAGAGGTTATTTCAGTGAATGTCCTAAAATTATGTGTATTTCGATTTCTTTTGTTTCAGGGAGCAACGCGATCACTCCGGAATTTCTTACGACAGAGAACAAGATCATTAACCGACTTTTTGGCCTCGGGTTCTGCTGGCTGATATAACAATTAGACATGTAAAGGAAAATCGAGATCGAAAGTAATTTTCTCATTTTTCAAAAGGCTATAATGGCGGATGGCCTCATTTACTGCGTTCCTGTGATTATTTCCTCGTTCACTATCATATCATGGTTGTGATCGAAATCTTGCGAATATAATAAGCGAGTATCCTAATACCATTAGCTGTAGCCACACTGAAATAAAAGGGCTGGGTGGTTTCGACATAACCAACAAGGCTGGTGCATAAATTTAACTTATTGGTGCTTTAGCAAACTTATTTTGGTTGTAAATCAACTTATTGGAGTTGTGCTTTAACTTATTGGTGCAGCACCGATCAGTTGGGGCGTAACTCCAAAAAGTTAAAGTATAACTTCAATAAGTTTGCTGAACAATATCAATAAGTTATGGCACAACACAAAGGGTTAGCTGTGTTGATATCATCCAACCCTTATTTTTCAAAGAAAGGCAATTCCTCCAAGTTGGCAGCTCTTGTTCACATTCAAACGATGTAAAACAATCGATATATTTCGAGGCAAGCGGCCACATATGGATTCATTACTTGTAGTGGCATGGAGGAAAAACAGTAATACCTACTACTAGCGGTGGCGAGGCGCTTTAATGATCGATCATCGATATTTCCCCACTTGAAACTATGGTAAAAAATCGATCATTGAGGTGTTCGTTGCGAACACCCTTTTATCGCATAGAGAAAAAAAAGGAGGTGTTTGCATTTCGGGCATCTTGGCATTTTTTTGATGACGTAGGTCGGTACAGCGACGTTTATCATCGATTTTCTTGGAAATGGTGTAAATTATGGAAAAAAGTCATTCTATAAAAAGTGCTTGAAATTATATAAATAGTTGGTTTAAGTAAAATAATCGGACATTATTGTCCGTCGAATTCCGGATTTCGCTGGCAAGGTTGTACTGACCTACGTCACGGGGTAAACAAACATCAAGATGCTAACACCTCCTTTTTTTTTCTCTATGCTTTTATCGATCCTTTTCCATAAATTTAAATGGCAGATCAATCGATTTATCGCAAAGCACGCCACGCCATTGATCACTTGTGAGAATCGTCACTTTCCAGTGCTTTGTTGTTAAATTCCAATCAATGCATGGCCTTTCACGTCATACTGTGGCAATTTTAAAATACACAAGGGATCGCAATACCTAAAAATCCTGCAATTTTTAAATCTTCAAAAATCATTATACTTAAATTCGTTCTCTTGAAACAAAATGAAGAAATTAATGGATAAAATGGACATTTTAAAGTAAAAAATCGACGTGAGTATATTAGCTTGTGCTTTTGGAATTGCCAATGTTTTGATGCGGTGAAACTATTTGACCACGTATCTCTGTTTGCAAAGTTGCGGATTTTCTGTCTCATTCCACTCTTTCGAGAAATGATTCATCGTCACTAATGTTGTTCCTCCGTAATTCTCTCCGTCCTTTTCAAAATGTTTCTTGGAGATTTTGTGCAAACATGTCTCATAAATAAGCACTCTTTGAAAAGAGTGAGAGCGAAAATTTTGAACAGTGCAATCGGGATACATGTTTTCTTAGTTTTACCTTAAATTTCCTTTCTTTGCATGATATTCTGAATATCGAGCTAAAAGAAAAACCTCGTCGTTTCTCCTTATTTTTTAATGAATACATAATTGCTTGGAAAAAAAATCAGATCTGTGATGGAAAACTAATATTTCAGGGTTTTTTTTTTTTCAAATATATGGCAAAAATCAAAAATGTAATTAGGAGAATTATGATCCTCTAAAATCTTTTAGTGAGAGCCAAAAACTTGTAAGCTATACTATGAGATTTACTTGGCTCCAATAAATACATTAATTAATATGTTTTTCTCATGTGGGTGTGGTAATAAAAATGATGAGTGATCTTCTATGAAAATCACTGTATGCATATTTAATCGGTACTGAAGATGTGCAATAAGTATAGGTGACAATATTTTTGCCACAAGGAAGATTTTAGATTATAAGTCAGTCTAAAACGATATTTAAGACCTTCTTTTTCTCTAAATTTGTCTTCTCCTTTTAAAAATAATACGAAATTAAGACTGATTAAATTTCTCGCGCTTTTTCTTTAGTATTTATTTGCTATGAAAATGGTGTCAAAAGACTTAGTTCAGTTGCAGAGGATAGCTTCTATTTATTATTCGTCATTTCCGTTAAATTTTACTCGAATTTAAACCATTTAGAATAAATACAAATGCTAATCAAAACGACAATGTTTTAAATAATTCATTTTTAAGTTTGTTCCCGACAAAAAACAAATCGCATCTTTGGAATGAGCTCAGCGTTCATCTAATTAGTTGAGTATCAAAATCAAAATGTATCTTTCTTTCTAGTACTTTTTAGCACTACAGATGATGAACTCTACTGAGTGTACGTGAAAGTAAAGAAAACATATTTTAGTAATTTTAGGTGTGTTTACTCTGTCTATCATCGGTGCAAATATCCATTGACTCATGACACAAACCAAGGGTTTCATTTTCTCCGCGGTTTAAGCACCTTTACAAATATTCAAGATGATTTCGAACATTAATGGTAAATTTACACGGCTGAAGAGAGCGAAAGAAAGATAAAAAATTAGCTAGAAAAAACGGCCAGTTCTCAGATCGTCCGGGTCTCCCGTGCTAACTCTTGCCTTGAACAACACAACTATCTCGCAGTGGCGTGGCGAGAATTGCGATGTATCGATTGTTATGCCGTTTAAACCTATGGTAAAGAATCGATCATTAAGGTGTCCGCTGTGAACACCCTGTTTATCGATTCTTTTCCATAGGTTTAAATGGCATAACAATCGATATATCGCAATTCACGCCACGCCACTGCTATCTCGGTTGTGACTAGGCCATGCAAGCATCAAATAAGTTGCATGTTTGTTATACTGTCCACAATCCACATAGAAGTAGGCAGGCATGACGCCTTTCCAATAATCTGTTTACGCCTCCTTTTTCTCTTCTACTTCATTTGCATGTCCCGGTGTGTGATGATAACCATGTAGATGGTGAAAGTCGCAAAAAAGCGTGCAATTGATCACAATCCTTAAAACCACACCTGTTCCATTTTTTTAAAGAAATAAAAACGATTCGAAAATTTTTCAAAATTTTCTGCCTATGGTAAAGAGCTTTATTAATACTCCAAAAGGTGGTTTTCCATTTGAAAAAAAATGCGACCAAAACACCTACAACGTCGCAAATCAAGACACGTTTTTCGCAACTTTCACTATTGTTATGAGATCAACCGGTTGTGTGTGATTTTTTCTCGTTTTTTATTGATCTGTTACCTTAAAAAAATATCGTCATGGGCGCCTTGTGCTCAATGTTTGTAAACCTTGTACATAAAAATGAGGGTTTTTAATAAACCAGATGTTATCCATACACAGGTGTTCTGTTTTCTGACTAAATCATTGATTCCTTTTGAAAGAAAAAAAGGTCCCGAAACTTACAATTTCAGAGGTTTACAGAAAAATGTATAATACTGAACTAAAGGTCGGCATCGCGGACTGGGAGATCGAGCGAGATTTTGTTTTTAAATCTTATTTTTTTTTTTATTTTAATTTTCATAAATCCTAAACGAGTTGATATAAATAATTTGCGAATTAAGAAACCCCTCTTGTCCTGCTATCTGTAAAAGATATGCAACATTTCCGTAAAGAAGTTATGGAAAACAACCGACATCAAATTTTTTTGTAATTCTCAAAATCACCCATATTGATGCTGAAAACAGAGTAAACTGCAAAATATGCGACATGAAAGATAAATACCTCAATTTTGCGGTTAGGGGTTGAAAGGGGTGGAAGATTGAATGAAGAAGACTTTCAATCCAACGTGTAAAAATAGTGAAGTAACGACATACTGAACACAATTTTATTGTATTTAGCAAATAGGAGGTTTTAATACGAGGATTAAAAATTAACAAGTGGTACGGAATATAACAAAATAATATGAACCATGCAAAACTATAATCCGGGTATCGGAACTTGGCTGTTTTGAAAACGCCTTCAAATGCGGCGTGATACCTCACGCATTCTGGAGAGTTCAAATAGTTGTATCATTGCGCCGTAAGAATGTGACGGGAGATTTAAATGGAAATAGCCTCTTGTCGATTTCCTTCGACATTTTTGCAGTGGTAAATGGATAGCTGAATTGCGCTCCAGCTAGAATTGTATATAGCAAATAGGTGGTTTTTATACGAGGATTAATAATAAACAAGTGGTACGGAATAAAACAAAATAATATGAACTGTGCAAAACGATAATCCAGGTATCGGAACTTGGCTATTTTGAAAACGCCTTCAAATGCGGCGTGATACCTCACGCAATCCGGAGAGTTCAAATAGTTGTATCATTGCGCCGTAAGAATGTGACGGAAGATTACAATTGAAATAGCCTTCATGTGCGCTCGCCCTTAGATTTCCGTTCACATGTTTGCAGTCATGAATGCATAGCTTAAATGCGCTTCAGCTAGAATTGTATTTAGCCAATTGGTAATATTTATAGGAGGATTATAAATAAACAAGTGGTACGGAATAAAACAAAATAATATGAACTATGCAAAACGATAATCCTGGTATCGGAACTTGGCTGTTTTGAAAACGCCTTCAAATGCGGCGTGATACCTCACGCATTCCAGAGAGTTCAAATAGTTGTATCGTTGCGCCGTAAGAATGTGACGGATGATTACAATTGAAATAGCCTTCATGCACGCTGGCCTCATCGATTTCCTTCGACATTCTTGCAGTTGTGAATGCATAGCTGAATTGCGCTCCAGCTAGAATTGAGGAGCATTCCGGAAAAGGGCACATACGCGTATGTGCCCTTTTTCCGGAAATGGCAGAAACGGTTTCCTCGCATCCTAATGTACCAATGTCCCGAGTTTCAGCTTAATTGATCAATTTTTGGAGCTAAGAGACCAAGTTTTGTGAGGCTAAGTCAGGCGTATTTCATCTATTTGCCCCTGGGTACGGTCGCCGCGACGCGACGTTGAGGAGATAGCACGCAGGGCGCAGGC